TATATATATATAAACATACAGACAGACAAGCAGGGGGAAATAAAAAGAAAAAAAGACGAAAAGAGAAACAGTGCGGCAGACAAACAGGCAGCCAAAAGACAGACAGACGGACGGACGGTGATAGAGAGGGAGAGAAAAAGAAAAGCAAAGGAGAGAAAATGTGTAACGTCGAACTAGCTAGCAAGCTGTCCTAGAATCCAGGAGTTTGCGTGCGAGAAGATGGAAAGACATGGAGCGAAAAAGAGCCCAACAGCGAACAGGGCTTGCTTGCTGTGTGTAGGCCCTGCGCCTGTCCTGAGTTAGACAGTAGGGCGGTACCAGTGTGATCGGGGAATACATGCGGCGACCTGCAGATAGCAGGCTATTACGCGGGCTTTGACAGTCTTGCCTCAGCTCCAAGACGTTGTGAAGGTTAGAACAGTGATGTTATCGCTAAACACATGCTCACAAGGGGGGTTGTTTCGCCTTTGTAAATGTCTAGATCTAGTGTCTGTGAGAAAAAAGCCTTTTTTTAGGGTGCGTTGTTGATTTTTGCTCCGAGAGACGCAAGTCAATGTAAAGATGATATTTAGTGTTGGGAAGAGAAGGGCAAGAGACGAGAATGACAGATGAACAGAAAAACTATGGACTAGTATTCTTATTACCATTATTGTTGTTGTTGAAAATATCAGTGTTGAATGGCTTGCTGCTGCTGTTGCAATTGTTATTATTGTAAACGTTATTGTTGCTATTGTTATATCATGACAATTGCTGTCGTTATTATTTTATTAAAACATTATTGCCGTTGCTGTCCTTATCATCGTCGTCATCATCATCATCATCATCATCATCATCATCACAATCATCATCATCATCATCATCATCATCATCATCATCAAGAACGTCGTCGTCATTGTTGTCGTCGTCATCATCATCTTCACCATCGTCTAATTCCTCCACACAGAGCCGCCCGAGTCTTTCAGTTCCCTGTTCCGAAGGATGCCTCTACTCACCCTGGCTTCTCCACCCGCTCGTGTCCTGCTCAACTTCACAAACATAGAGATGTGTGCCCGTGAGTGTGTGCGCCAGTCTGACTTTGACTGTCAGTCCTTCGACGTGGACAACCAGAGGCGAGTGTGTGCTCTGTACAACGCCACGCACGATGATGGGAGGGCTTTTCTCCAAGAGTCGGAGCATGTTGACCATTACAGAAGTAAGTACAAAATACAAGAAAATAGTGACATTCAGAGGGTACAATGATTCTCAACAGAATACTAATTTAAATTGTATCTTCTTAATATCCCCGCCTCTTAAATAACCAAATTGTGTTGATAGGGGCGTTAAACATATACCATTTCACAATTTTCTTAAAGCCGTCCAGTACGAGGTAGCATATTGCAGCAGTTTGCTCATGTTGCATACAAAGCATCATATTCTAGTGCTTAGTATATATTCCCCACACACATTGCCTGTACCCTGTTATGTGTGTGTGTGTGTGTGTGTGCGTGTTTGT